GGATGGATGGATGGATGGATGGATGGATGGATGGATGGATGGATGGATGGATGGATGGATGGATGGATTTAAATATAAAATGTGACAGACTACTGTTTGTACTGTGAGGGCTTTAGTAGCTCTACATGTTTGGTTTTGTGTGAGCTGAGTTGCACATAACCTGAGGTTCTATAAACTCTTTGATAATCATTTGTCCTTTTGCTGATGTTTCTTATAGCTGCAAAAAACATTTACACTGGTTTGTTTATCTATCAGTTTAGTTTAAATGGTAAATGGTACTGAACTTATAGAGCGCTTTCAAGTCCCTCCGAACCCCAAAGCGCTTTACCCATTCACACTCACATTCAGTTTATGATTATGTCCTTTTTTTTACCTCCATTCATCTTCTGCTATTTATCAGAGGCACTGGGTCACAATGGCAACAGTCTTAACAAAGACCATAAGTCTTCAAACAACCTCCTCCACCTCCATCGTGTTCAGAACTGAACCAGTTTAGCTCTTTTTGAGAGGATTCATTTAATCAAAGGCCATTTTTAGGTCTAAAATTCCTGCTTTGACTACATTACCACCATCTAAAGACTGTTTGTTTTCTATAAAATGAAAGATGGACAGTTCTGTTAAATAAGCTGAATGAAACCTAAACAGGTTTAGATGKAAAAGCTGRTTTTTGTGCWKRGAACTGATAAGTTGCTCTGTCACTRATGTTTATGAAACTTTGGATGTGGCAGGTAAAGTATTGATTAGTGACCATGAGGGTAACAGCTTGTCCAGACATTAAAAAAAATAATTTTCCTCTTGAATTTGAGGCTTTCAATCAAACTCCTGGAGCCTGGACACTGTAATTCAACTCAGCAGCTCCAGTGRCAGGGGAGCCAGAATACCCCTTCCAAAAGGCTCCCACCTCTCGTTCCACAGTGAAAGTCTCACAGGTGTYGAACTCCGGTCCTCAAGGACCACCACTCTGCATTTACAGGAATGGATGGTTACCAGGCTTCTACAAAATTTGAAGAGGTGATTGAACCAGTGAATCAAGCGTGTTAGAGCAGAGAAACAAAGGAAACTTGCAGGATTKTGATCCTCAAGGAAGTGAGGTCATCATCCCCTGATTTGAGAGAACATCAAAGTATTTCCTCCACCACCTGACCTTAAATTAGCAAAATGTGCATCTGACGTTCACTTCTTCTTTCCATCTTCATGGTTAATAAGCAAAAAAAGTTTCCTCCGACTTCACATCCAACAACACAAGCCTCTTTTCAAACATTTGATACATCGAGTGAAAATGCTATCCTGCTATCACTGTTGTTTAGCTACATGTAACATGGGAGTGCTGTGGGAGGGATTATCCCCCATGTCTTCAGTGCAAGTATAAACAGTAAGAAAAAGACACCCAAAATGACATAATCATGAATTCGCTGTCTTAGGTTTTGTAGAACTATAAACCATTCTTAAGGTTTCCCAACACAAGTCAAACTCTTCACATGTTCGAGGTTTTTGCCTCTGCAGCTGTTTGAACCATGAACCACTTGGCCTGCTGATACCTGTCAACCCTGCTCTGCAGGACACCCTCTACAGCCTGCTTTATTTTCCCTATGTAAAACTGTATTCATCCTCAAAGGGAATGTGTGTCAACCTGTGACTGAGTGTGAGTCTGGTAGGATGRGCAGAGGACTCATCAAAATAGGTCAATGGAACAATCTGCAGTGAAGCGAGACGAGCAGACAAAAAGAAAATGGGGATGGGGCGCACTTCTGCAGCACAGGTCATCTAAATACACTTTTCTGTCAGAGCATTATCTATATCAGTCTATTTCTTTCTTTCTTTCTTTTTTCTTATGAGACAACATTGGGAGGAGAAATAATGGGATGTAGTGGAGAGTGGTACATCTTGCATTTCTCTATTTTTGTCATGGCCTCTCTTGTGTAGGACTGGGTAGGATATCTTATTGCTGTATAAATTATATTAGGTGTGGGACATGAAAATTGAAAACGGTGCTATCAGAGCTATTCTCATTGTTGTTTTGCAGCTGTCAGATCTGACTGTGTTGGAGCAATTGAAGAATGAAGAGCTTTGGTAAGTTTGACAGTAAATTCAGTAAATTCAGATCATGTAAGCCCCCTCTCGTCTCGTGTGCCTGTATGCAGATCTACCCAGTTCAGCCTTGGCCAAACGTATCTCCATTTCCGGTTTCAGCTGCACACTCAGAACCACCTCTGAGGCGGGAAGAACTGAGTACTTCACAGTTTTGACATGAGCAGAATGCAGCCTGTGGATTGGCTCTTGGATTGATTGACAGAAAAAAGGCTTTACTTGTTCAAACTTATTCTGTAAATTTCCTCCTGGAGAGAGACACTTTTGTTTTGGAATCCAAGTGCAAAATACAACAACATGATGAAAGCAGTGATCAAACCAGGGTCTAATCTGGAGGGGCAAACGTTTTATTGATCTTGGGAAAGGCAGAACTAGCAAACACTTCCTGGAGAGAGGTGAAGGAGATGAGCGCTGGGGGAAGCCATCCTAAAATCAGCAGATATCCCAGGAGGTTTTGGAAAAACTGCCCACCCGCGGTTACACAAGTACTTATAAACAGCACGGCGACAAAACAAATAAATTATATATATATATCCTACTTTATAT